CTGCACCCATACCTTACATAGAATCTGCTGGATTTTTTTTTAATTTCCTCAAAAGTTGCTTTTAGTAATATATAGTGAGTATCTGTGGCAAACCTGAAGCCTGGTACCTGATACAATTTTTGTCTTGCTTTTATATCTGAATAATAGTTTGGCTATGAAGTAGTAAATTCAGAGTTCTTAAAAACTACAATTTATTTTTTCTTTATTTCAGCGTTTCTTTTAATGCCTGTTGTTAGTCTGATTCCTTTTTCTTTGTAGGTTATTCTTTTTCATTGGATACCTTTAGAATTTTCTTGTCTTTGATATTCATAAATCTCATTAACATGTCTAGGAAGCAGAGTAAGGATTTTTATATTGCTTTAATTCTGAGAAATGTATCATTCTCATATGTTAAGATTTTGTACCCCTTCCCTGTTTGTCAGCTGTTGCTACTTTTGTCATCCGTATCTCAGAGCTTTTCTATTTTCCATCTGTCTTTCATGCTGCCTTCTGGTAGAACTTTTCAACATCATGGACTTTATCTTCAGTTGAATCTATCCTGTTTCTCTTATTTGTTGCCTATTTTAGTTATTGTATTTTTCATACTTAACATTCCCTCTCTGTTTTAGATTTCTTGGTCTTGTTGCATGTTGTTAATCTTCCTCATCTCTAAGTATATTTGCATTCTTGTTTAAATTCTCTAATTATGCTGCTTCAGATGATAATCATTTCACTCTTTCATAGAAATTGTACCCTTGAAGTGTCTAGTTATTCTTCAAGCTCTGGCACATTAGGCAATACCAGTTACCCTAATAATGAATATTTGGGAAGAAATGAAGGTTTGTGACAAGGAGAAGGGCACAGGGTGAGCCTAAGTAGTGCAGCACTAGTTGCCTTAGACTGAAAGTTTGCTGCCAGTCCAGGCAATTTTTATGGTGTGCTTTGCAGGGGTGGGGGACTAGTCTTCTTTGGTTGTCAATTCATTATTCCTAGATTGGAGCAAATACATGTTTGAGGGCTTTGAACCAGTGCAGCTTTCATCAACCCTGGCATTCGGCTCTTGTGAAGGGTGAAGATGACGGACAATGATTGTTGCAAGGCAGGAGCAGAACTTAAAAAGTTTTCTTGCGGAATTGCTATCTTCCAGCCTGTCCGCATGGCTACCTACTGTGGCCATTCTGTCCCGAAGTTGTCGGTCACCCTGTACCAGTTAAACACAACCTCCAGTCTTACCTGAAATTGCTTATGGTGTGTGTGTGCCTCAGTAGTTGCTTCATTCTTGTTCTAAAGTTTCTGGGATTAGCTTTTTGGGGGAGCAAGAAAAGCCAGAAGCCCATGCTGGTTCACCACCTTGGCAGAGTAGTGCTTTTTACTTAAAATTAACAGAAATAGAAAGTTGATATCTTCAAGGGTTTGTTTTTTATTTCTAATAATATTAAATAAACTAGTGACTGACTAAGTGAATTATTTGATTCACAAAAGTTTGTGGCAGGAAATTTTAACCTGGATTTTGTATCTATTGCATACATTCCCTGAAGTTAGGTACATTTTAAGTGTGAACATTTATTATTAGAGAGGTTTAATCATTCTTTAGGAGACTCAAAACCTCGTGTGTATAACCTGTTAAAAATCAGTGCCCCCATTCACAGTAGCAGACATGGAATCAACCTAAATGCTCATCAATGACAGATCTGATACAGAAAATGTATACATCACATAATACTGTGCAGCCATACAAAGAACGAGATCATGTCTTTTGTGAGAACATGGATGGAGCTAGAGGCTATTATCCTTAGCAAACTAACACATGAACAGAGAACCAAATACCACACATTCTTACCTATAAGTAGGAGCTAAATGATGAGAACTCATGAACACAAAGAAGGAAACAATAGACACTGGGGTTACTTGAGGGTGGAGTGTGGGAGGAGGGAGAGGAGCAGAAAATTAAGTATTGGGTACTGGGCTTAATACCTGGGTGATAAAATAATCTGTACAGCAAACCTTCACATATACCCATATTTTAGGGTATACATATATATAGGGTATACACATATATTTTAGGTTGACCTAAAATAAAAATTAAAATAGTGCTTCACAGTGCATTGTATGGTGTATGTATTTTATCTCATCAAAGCTGTTATTTATTTTTGAGACAGGTCTCATTCTGTCAGCCAGGCTGGAGTGCAGTGGTGGTGCAATCTTGTTCAATTCGGCCTCAACATCCCAGGCTCAGGTGATCCTCTCATCTTAGCCTTCCAAGTAGCTGGGACCACAGGCATGCACCACCACACCCAGCTAATTTTTGTATTTTTTGTAGAGACAGGGTTTTGCCGTGTTGCCCAGGCTGGTCTTGAACTTTTGGGCTCAAACAGTCCACCCACCTTGGCTTCCCAAGGTGCTGGGACTACAGGTGTGAGCCATAGCACCTAAAGCTGTTATTTTAAAAATACATGTCTGCTCTTTATAGTATGTTACACTCTTATTTAATAATGTGATTACTAATTCCTAGTTAAATATGGAGACTAAAATAAAATAATGGTGTGTGAAATCTTGTCCTTTTTCCTGATATACATATGCTCCCCTCTTTTTCCTAATAACTAGTATAGGTGAGATATATGTAAAAGAAAAATCTAAGTAATCATTATTCTCAGAATTAAAATGATTAGTCCATGACTTCAGCAATGACAAGTCCAGCACTTAACCTGGGTAAAGATTTAGGGTTGACAATATGATTTACATTTTATCAATTTACCTAGTTACATTTCTACTTTTGAAATATAGCCAGTGGGTCAGTATGTTTATATCTATTTGATTTTTATTTACTTTGACTCTACCTTTTGCTTCAGATAAAAAACCTATCATTCACTAACTCCAATGCTTCAGTTTCAGTATGACAAAAGAAGTGTGACTTCTGTTTTAGTGTGATGCTATGTAACTGATTTCTAACCTTTCAGCCTGCCTAGGGTAGTTAAAAGACGAGTGAATGCTCTCAAAAACCTGCAAGTTAAGTGTGCACAGATAGAAGCCAAATTCTATGAGGAAGTTCACGATCTTGAAAGGAAGTATGCTGTTCTCTATCAGCCTCTGTTTGATAAGGTAATGCTTTCTCCTACTTTGTTTAATTTAACATTCTAGAAGATGAAGTCTGGAAATATAAGCAGACTTGGAAGAGGTTGGTCTTTAGAACTCTCATTGAAATTGTTATTAGAGGCACTTGGAGGAACTATCAATAATAGTTAAAGTTGTGGTATGCATTTGTTAAATTTATAAGACTTCTTAGTGAGAAACCACTGGTTTTACCTTGGATGCCAGTGATTTTATATAGCCTTTTTTTTTTTTAAATCATTTTAGCGATTTGAGATTATTAATGCAATTTATGAACCTACGGAAGAAGAATGTGAATGGAAACCAGATGAAGAAGATGAGATTTCGGTTAGTACCAACTTTATTTTAGTATGTTTTATAGATGGTAAAATCTTAGGACTTGTCAGAAATGTTAGCATTTAATGATGGAGTACAGTATTATATAACTAGTTGTATTTTTTTCATTTTTTAATTTTACATCTTACATTTTTCTAATACTTTATATTAAAAAAACAGTCATTCAAGATTGTAATTTGCATGGCAATAAGCTGTGGTTTCATGGATTCTAAGTTTCTTAAAAGTGTCCACAGCATTAAAACTACAAGTCTTCTTTCCAATTTGCAGCACCTGACTTAAAGTTTAAATTCATCTAATGCATCATTAAAACTGTCATTTTCTCTTGTGAGAAGACATATTTCAATTGCTATTTCCAGGACTATAGATTGAGCATGGGTGTACATTATTTTTAATTGGTTAGCAGAATTTTACTCATGTAATTTATGGCCAGAATAAGAACCTCTAGCATCTCTGAATGGCCTTCCACTCAGAATGATGATGATAAATGTCTAAGATGTGTGCCCCCACTTGGCATTACCAAACATGTTTCCAAATAATCTTAGAAAATATGGTTCTTTAAACATATATGCAAACCATATCTTTAAACATAAACATACCACACAGTGTGCACCATCAGTTCCTTAATCGTTTTCCAATTGTTCATTTATAACATTTGCAATTTGTTATTATAAATCGTATTGTGAAGAATACTTTCATCCATAAGTTTTATTGCAAGGCTTATTGTCTCCTCTAATGTCTTCTAATGTCAAAGAAGTAGCTTATTGGTTCAAACAGTGTACATACATGGTTTTAAGGCTTTTAGTATACTTTACCAAATAATCTCCAGAATAGCTCGAACACCTCCTACCAACAATATGTTATTGTGCCCATAGGGTGGACTTCATAACAACGAAGCAGATTCTGCCACAAATCTATTAGATTCTCACCCATCTCAAAACTATCACATCAAAGAAGCAAGGAGACATATTATTGGTGAGGGAGCCAAATTCAATTTCTTTTTAAAAATCACTCAGCTTTAGGTCAATAAAATAATCAACAAAAATGCTCCCCACAAAAAAGTCTGCTGGGTTTTTCAAAAAATAAAAAGAGAAAGAGAAAGGCTAGGCACAGTGGCTCATGCCTGTAATCCCAGCACTTTGGGAGGCCGAGGGGGCCAATCACGAGGTCAGGAGTTTGAGACCAGCCTGGTGAACACAGTGAAACCCTGTCTCTACTAAAAATACAAATTATTAGCTGGGCGTGGAGGCAGGCGCCTGTAATCCCACCTACTCAGGAGGCTGAGGCAGAAGAATCACTTGAACCCGGGAGGCAGAGGTTGCAGTGAGCCAAGATCACGCCACTGCACTATGGCCCAGGCAACAGTGCGAGACTCCGTCTCAAAAAAAAAAAAAAGTCAGTACCAAATGACCAAAATTTTTTATTTGACTAAATTGTATTCATGCATGAACATGATAGTCTCCCCTGTTTATTTGACTTTGGCAATAAAAACAAGCAGCCTTGTACACAACAGTGAAAATGCCAAGGATGAGGGAGGGCAGTCTACAGTTTTACTGTAGAAAATATATATATATGTTTATAAAGGCCTCTCTTCCTTTGGCCATATCAACTCTAAGTTCAGGCCATTAACTACAGAGAAATTTTCAAATTCACTTCTCCAAGATCTTCGATGCTGTCATCATGTACTTTTGGCCATTTTTCCTGAATGACATCAGTTGTGTCATCTGTAAAGTCTCCTTGAATGATAATTTCATCCTCCCCTGTTACTGAGGCACCACAGGAGAATTTTTTTTTTTTTTTTTTTGAGACGGAGTCTCGCTCTGTTGCCCAGGCTGGAGTGCAGTGGCCGGATCTCAGCTCACTGCAAGCTCCGCCCACAGGAGAATTTTTAAGCAATAAATCTTTGTGTGTTTTAAGATCAATTTCAAAAGTTACAAGGCCACACACACTTGTCACATATTTCTTTGCTTTGGGAATTTTGGCTATAGTAATGTTTTGTGGTATGATCTTTGTTTTTTGTTTTATTTGACCCCTTCCACCTCTCTTCTGTTTTTTCTTCTCCTCTTCTTCCCCTGCTGTTCCTTGACCCTGACTAATTCCAGCTTCTTGTTTGGGTGAATTTTCTACAGTAAGTTTTGCAAATTCATTTGGAAAATTCTTCTCTAATCATTGTCTACATTTAGCAACATCAGGCATATATTCATAGTACTCTGTTGGTAATGAACAAACTCCACAATAAAATACTCGAAGTGGGTAATCGGCATCTAACTTGGCACTGTTCCTTGGGTCTCCTTTGCAATCAGCCCCGCTGGATTCAGAAATGTCAGCAGCCATTTCACAAACTCAGGTGGTCTCACAGGCCCCGCCCACTCCACTCCCGCTGCTATTGCCAGCTGAACCGACAAATGCAGCTGAACTGACAAATGCAACTGTCTCCCCAGTCAGGGCTGCCCTAGAGCATCAGTTGTATTTCTATACCTAGGAAATATTTTTCCTTTTTGTAAGAATGATAATACAGATCAGCTATTATTCAAGCTGGCACCACCATCTGTACTCAGAAAGTCATTATTTCCTTACATTTTATAGTTTTTTTTGTTTAAGAGACAGGGACTTGCTGTGTTGCCCAGGCTGGAGTGCACTGGCATGATCTTGGCTCACTGCAGCTCACTTCTGGGCCCAAGCTATTCTCCCATCTCAGCCTCCCAAGTTGCTAGGACTATCTGAAGCTACCATGCCCAGCTTAATCTCTACATTTTTTTGTGGAGGCAGAGTCTTCTCGCCCAGGCTGGTTTTGGACTCCTAGCTTCAAGCAACTTTGCACCTTAGCCTCCCAAACTGTTGGGATTATGGGCTTGAACCATTGAGCCACTGTGCCCAGCCTATTTTTGTAGTTTTTTTGAGTCTCACTCTGTTGCCCGGCTGGTGCCCAGGCTGGAGTGCAGTCTTGGCTCATTGTAACCTCTACCTCCTGGGTTCAAGCAGTTCTCCTGCCTCCTCCTCCCAGTAACTGGATGACAGGCATGCGCCACCATGCCTGACTAATTTTTTGTACTTTTAGTAGAGGTGGGGTTTGGCCATGTTGGCCAGACTGGTCTCCAACTCCTAATGTTAAGTGATCCACACGCCTCAGCCTCCCAGAGTGCTGGGATTACAGGTGTGAGCCACCATGCCCGGCTAACAGTTTTTAGTTTGTAGATTCATTATATACTTTTTTTTTGAACTTCATGATAGGCTGAGGATTGTTGCCATTTTCAAGTGAAGACATGGAGGCTTCTAAGTGACCTGCCCACAATGAATAATGGCAGAGCTGTGACACACATTCAGTGCTGTGTTAAGTGATCCAACTCTCTAGCATTGCTATTTTATGTTGTTTGGTAAAGAGAATATAATGTTTTGATTAATAACACCATGGGGTGAGGCATTGGACCAAGTTAGTATTTCTGTTGCTTTTCTTGTTTACTATGCTTAAGTCTTCATTTTTAATTAGTTTAAAAAAATTTTTTTTTTTTTTTTAACTAAAATGGTTTTTCCTACAGATCTTGGTCACTTTAGTGGCTCTCTTTGGAGGGGTGTGGTAGCAGTAATTTTGATGGGATTAATTAAGGTTTGTTATGGACAACGGCAGTGTTTACACAGATAGACTAGAACTTTGAAGGTAATATCTGGTGACTCTGCATTTTGGTTTTTTTACCTTTGTTACTTTATCAAGAGGTCTAATCTATGTATTACATAATGTTTGCTGTCACTTATCAAGGAGGAGTTGAAAGAAAAGGCCAAGATCGAAGATGAGAAAAAGGATGAAGAAAAAGAAGACCCCAAAGGAATTCCTGAATTTTGGTTAACTGTTTTTAAGAATGTTGACTTGCTCAGTGATATGGTTCAGGTAATTTTATTCATAAACGTGCCAGTTTACTTTGAAGGGTAAACTTTTGAAGTTTAAATGGCTGTGATGACTGTTCTCTTCAGTGTTGATCTTTCTAGAATGATTGCTTACTTTTTAAACAGTTAATGTCTGTAGAAGGGAAATTATAGCTTTGATTAATGTAATTAAATAAATTACAGTTTATTTTAAAAAATGAGATGATGAAATGGTCCCATTGATAATTGCTCATTATCGACTGGTATTTTCTCATTACCCTGTGCCTTCTGTCTTTACATACTTAGTATGGAAGTATGATGGGAAAGTTATTTTTACAGCTGCAATTATACAATTCCCTTAACTTTTCCAGGAGAAATTTGCATTTTAAAAGAATGCTATAAAGATGTTAAACTCATTCACAGTGGTTACATTATCTGGCAAACCATAATAGTTGTCACCTTTGGGAAACTTTGCTTCAAGCATTTCTTGAGCGAGCCCCTACCCCTACCGTCTACATTGTAGTAGTACGTGTTGCCCTGTCTTGTCGTCGTTGGAAGTTACATGGAGAAAAAGAAATGATTTCCACATAATTACTACTTAATTACAATTCTACTTTAGCAAAGTGGAAAAGGAACGACCAGGAGGAAGGGGACAAGCAGCTGGAAAAGGCAGCAGTTATAATCAGGAAACATTTTTAAAGCAGATATGCCTTATTTAGACTTGATTTTGAATTTTTCAGCCTATATAATGATTTAGTTGTCTATTTGGACACTTTTTCTCTACCAGTGGCAGTAGAACTACAGTATAAATTAGCTTTAGTGTGTAAGCCATAACCTGGAGAGTAAGTCTTAAGGTTCGTAATTGCTGTACAAAACTACTTTAAAATATATTATGTCTCAGTCAGCTAGTGTCTGTGTAGTAATAGAAGACAATCCTCAAATGCCATGTTACTCATTTTTATTATTATTTTTTAATTTGAAGGAACATGATGAACCTATTCTGAAACACTTGAAAGATATTAAAGTGAAGTTCTCAGATGCTGGCCAGCCTATGGTAAGAGAACTTTGAAATATTTATAATTTTGTAGCATGCTTACAGGTAGATAAATAGAAACTTACAGGTAGATAAATAGAAACTTTTAAAAAGATAACATTCAAGGGTAAGGTTGGTGCTCTTGGTTGTAGTGAATAAATATTTGGATGTGCTAATTGTGAGGCAGTATTTTTTCCTTTTCCTCCTTCTGAACATAAACTGTGTTTGAAACACAGACAATCCTTGTTCTTGGATAAGTGGATAAAAATAATGCCAAGGGAACGTGAATAAGTACTTTTTCTACATTAATGAACTTGGGAATTACATGAAACTGATGTTAAAGGACACCCACACCTTAATAAGGAAAGATCAGCGAACAACCTGTCCACCAAACCACCAGTGTTAATGTCAACTGTGGGCAAAACTACTAAGAATATAGGCTGTAGATGCTTAAGGTTGGGCTTTTTCTGTGTTAAGTTCACGTTTAGTATGCTATTTAAAAGCCTGATTCCTCCGGTAGTTGGGGAGTAAGGGAGACAACATGGTCACTTTATTCAGGTGTGCCTAGCCTGTTGTGTAAACATGTTAATTATTTAGTAGTTGTAAATTGAAACTAAGCTTTATTCAGTTCAATTTGTACCTCATTTTGATTTTAACATAATTTTTTTGATTTTAGCATAATTTGGGGCTTATCTGACAGTCTGTCCCATTCTTAAATATTTCAGGGCTGGGCGCGGTGGCTCACGCCTGTAATCCCAGCACTTTGGGAGGCCAAGGCGGGTGGATCACTTGAGGTCAGGAGTTCAAGACCAGCCTGTCCAACCTGGTGAAACCCTGTCTATACTAAAAATACAAAAATTAACTGGGTGTGGTGGCACACACCTGTAATCCCAGATAATTGGGAGGATGGGGCACAAGAATTACTTGAATCTAGAAGGCACAGATTGCAGTGAGCTGAAATTGTGCCACTGCACTCCGGCCTGGGCAACAATGCAAGACTCGGTCTCAAAAAGAAAAAGATTGTATTTCAGAGTAGGAAAAAAATTACCATTTAGAATATTATACATGTTTATAAAAAAACACAGATTAAGCTATATTTACTAAAGTATTGAAATGTATGAGGTAGGTATTTAACTGGTTTTTATGCTTCCTCTCCTCAGAGTTTTGTCTTAGAATTTCACTTTGAACCCAATGAATATTTTACAAATGAAGTGCTGACAAAGACATATAGGATGAGGTCAGAACCAGATGATTCTGATCCCTTTTCTTTTGATGGACCAGAAATTATGGGTTGTACAGGGTGAGTTTAATTTTACTACCTTAACAAAATGTTTTTTTTCTGTTTTTGTTATACTTGATTTGTATACTCGGTTATTTTAAGTTTCATATACGTACATAGTTTGTCTCTGAACATTTTGGTAATATGTTTTCTGAAAAGTGCTTATCAATTTTCCTGTAATTCTCCTTGGGCCCATGACTGTCTCACATATATTTCTGCAAAGGAATGCTTCTTTAAATTGTACTGTGTGTTTATGCTAGTTGTAAATATGTTTATTTTAAATATTTGATTAGAAATAAAATTTTTCCCTTTATACTGCTATAGAAAACATTTGAAGCAATTCACCCTTCTAAAATTTGAAATCTAAATAGAACATTTACTTCTAGAAGTTCAGCAGTTGAAAGATTGTCAATTGTAATAGATTTTTCTTCTTTGTTTTGCAAGGTGCCAGATAGATTGGAAAAAAGGAAAGAATGTCACTTTGAAAACCATTAAGAAGAAGCAGAAACACAAGGGACGTGGGACAGTTCGTACTGTGACTAAAACAGTTTCCAATGACTCTTTCTTTAATTTTTTTGCCCCTCCTGAAGGTAAATAATGTTTTAGCTTGAGTATTAGTGGTTATTTTATAATAAGCGTTGTTTAGCTTCTTATTCATTGTAATTTCTTTTCTGAATTTTGCAGTTCCTGAGAGTGGAGATCTGGTAAGTTGAATTGTTACTTATTTATTGAATTGTTAACTATATTTGAAATTAAAGCACCGAATTTCAAGTGGAGAGTGGGATGGTTGTTACATTGAGTTCTGAGGCCTACAATGCATGGGGCAGACATTTTGGATCTGAAAAATAATTCCATTCAGAATGGTATCAGTGCCTCTACTGAGAAACACTGAGATAAAAAGCTTAAGGTTTTCTTTTCTTTTAAAACTTACAAAGCTGTGAGAGATTTAACTTTTCTTTTTTTTTTTTTTTTTTTTTTTTGAGACGTAGTCTTGCTCTGTCGCCCAGGCTCTGGAGTGCAGTGGCCGGATCTCAGCTCACTGCAAGCTCCGCCTCCTGAGTTTACACTATTCTCCTGCCTCTGTCTCCCAAGTAGCTGGGACTATAGGCGCCCGCCACCTCGCCCGGCTAGTTTTTTGTATTTTTTAGTAGAGACGGGGTTTCACCGTGTTAGCCAGGATGGTCTCGATCT